AAGAAAGAAAGAAAGAAATTAAAGAATCAAAGGGATATTTATAGTTCATAAGAGAGGTGAAAAATCACAGTATTTATTTTGCCTGTGATTTTGAATATGATTGTTAAGTTAACTCCGGTTACAACAAGGCCAACAATGTTTTTTATTTGCAGCTGCAAAAATGGTCAGGTATTTATGAAACACTCTCTTTGGTTGATTTCTCCTAATTTGAAATATTCGTCTTCTGTTGGGCTTTTGCCATTGTAATATATTGTATGCTGTCCTTCAACTGTATGTATAGTGCTAAAACATTCTTAGCAAAAAACAATTCCAAATAATTAATTATTGTCAATCTACAAATTTATAAGAATGATTATATTCTTACCTCGGGCGAAAAGTAGTCATAAGCTACTTCATGTAATATCATGCAATATATGAATCCTTAATTACACTGAAGGGATGATTCTTCATGTTCCTTGCTTTGTGCGCGTATAGTGTTATGTAGTGTACCATATTGGCTGCGAAAAATTAAAAACTTCATTTGTGGCTAAATTAATTATACTTGCAAATTTAATACTTTCAAAACACACTAACCTTCGACATATTCCTTAATATGAAACTTCCTATTCAATTAATAATAACAATAATATCACTCCAATCATTACCGCTACTAAACGCCTTAGTCATAGACACATCCAACTATCTGCCCTATCCTCCAGAAGACAACCCTTCACAAATAAAATCCACAAATGAATTAAATCCATATCCTTATACCGACCAATACACAAAAATATTCAGTAATGAATTAATAGAATGTATGAAACAAATAGAAGAATCTCAATTAACCAAGAATTGTGAATTCAATTATGGTCAACTGGTATGTAATTGTCATTTCATTGATTTGATACAACGTGGATGTAAGAATGGGACTAATGATGTTAATTATTGGTATTTGGAGAATGCGAATGCTGAATTGAAATGTAACAAGGAAGAAATTGACAAGGTGATTAAAGGAGAAAAAGGGTAGAGTTGGAGTTTGGATAGCTGTAACTGATTTTGGGAACTTTAGAGTTTGATATCGAGACATTCAGAGTCAAAAATGATATTTAACTTTTCCATTGTGCTGGTGATTAAGGTATAAAGGGATCAACCGAATTGGATATTTCCGTGTCTATAAAGATTTCCGTAAGGACTATCCTAATGTATAGAGAGCCGCTTGTAATAGACATTTACTTTCATTTTGTAACACAAAAGCTATGGTTTAAAAATGATTAAGCCGTATAAAAATAAGTTTAATACGCCCCCAATTTACTAAGCCACTACTACTTCCATGTCCAATATTGAAAGTAAGCCTTACAGTATCAAAAAGAGGACTTACGCCACATGGTATACACCAAATGGAACTCAATTGATCAATTGACCCGAGCAAGATTGAATTGCTCTACACATTTGGTACGGAAAAGACGAAATAAGAACCCATGCTTTGCATATTTCTTATCTAAAACACCCAGCAAGTATCAACCTTCCCAAAACTAGACAAACTAAATGCGCTTTATAAATCAGAAACCGATTTATACGCCTTATGATCTAGGGGCATTCAATAAAACTAGTACTACAACGTTACATTTTGTCTGGTATATTTGAAATCAGGGTGAACAATAAATACAAAAGTATAAGACCTTCCTTTCATTGTTACGAAAAAATATTGTATGCGGGTCTCTGGTGAAGCGCATTCTTCTGGATGTTTGACATGCATATACTATAATTACGACATACAATATAGAAAGGGTAGTACCGGTCCATTTTATTGTCCCGGAGTTTTCTCTGCTGGTTCTGTGGGTGATTGTTTATTAGACCGCTAAGAGTGTCCCGCTACGGGTGTCGCTGATGGGGTGAAATAGAGTTGAGCGGCAATTGTGAAATTAATAAAAAATAAATCAATAATTGCAATTATTGTGGATGTTCCTAACTCCCTGTCAGAAAAATTTCGGACAGACAGACAAAATAAAAATTTTAATTCGACAAATCTTTTTTTTTTTTTTTTAATTTTAATTACGAAAAATAGTTAAAAATTATAAACCTGTAGTCAGACACACACATTAAAATAAGACACAAGAATTTTTTTTTTAAACATTTTATATTAATCCATACATTCCTATAAAACACTATTGCAACGTTACTTTTCTATCATTAGATAGTAACTAAGTTCATTACCAGATTACTCATTATTGAAAGTTCAACAAGCTTAGTTTGATTTGCAAAAGAAAGAATCACCACGTTCCACACATCCATATCATAATCATTGTATATTACATTATTTCTAATAAAATTCGCTAACCATGGGATCCTGTGCATCTAAAGAACAACCCGTCTCCAAACCAACTACCACCGCCACCAACACCCAAGCCAAACGTCAACAACAACAACAATCCATACAAAACCAATCCTCACAACCATCCCAGCCCCAACAATCACAACAACTACAACAGCCCCAATCACAACGAAACAACAACAACAAAACCTCCACCTCCACCAACGGAACCACCAATTCCCAACCGATCCATCCTACATCAGATACATCCGCATCCCTATCCACCAAACTAGGCTCAGCCAGTCTGTCCCAAGATAAACACCCCATCACCCAAACCCAACAACAACAAGCCATGGTCCAACAACTATCCCAACAATCCCCCACCAGCAATGGTAATAATGGCTTAAGTAACAACCCGGTAGATGTGGCAGCCAGGAGTGGGGATCACGAAGTAAAAGTCTTATTATTGGGAAGTGGAGAAAGTGGGAAATCTACTATTGTTAAACAAATGAAGATTATTCATCAGGATGGATATAGTGAGGAAGAATTGATTGAATATAAGCCGTTTGTGTATAAGAATGTTTTGGATTGTATTAAGAGTATCATAGTTGCCATTATTGAATTGCTGCCGGAGCTTGTTAAGGATTTGCCTAAGAAGATTGAAAGTGATGAGGATGAGGGGGAAGGGGAGAAGGAAGAGATTGGGGATGTAGAGTGTAGTGTTGAGGAGGAAGGGGAGAATGAACATGAGGTGACTGCTATGAATGGAGATCAGATTTCTCCAAATCGAAAACATATAATTGAATATAATGATCTTCAAGACATATTACAATATGAATATCCAATGGATTCAGATCTACCATTCAATCAAGATATTGCATCTAAGATTTCCACAATTTATCAAATTCCTGAAGTGAAATATTTTATGATTCATCAACAAGCGAATTTCTATCTTATTGATTCAACTGATTATTTCTTGAGTGATTTATCCCGAATCACAGATCCAAATTATATTCCATCAACAACTGATATTTTACGTACTCGTAAAAAGACCTCCGGTATATTTGATTTCCAATTCGATATGGGGAATGGATTAAATATTCATATGTATGATGTAGGAGGACAACGTTCTGAACGTAAGAAATGGATTCATTGTTTTGATAATGTCACATTAATAATCTTTTGTGTTGCACTTTCCGAATATGATCAAGTGTTATTGGAAGAAAATAATCAAAATCGATTAGAAGAATCATTGGCATTATTTGATTCAGTGGTGAATTCAAGATGGTTTGCTAGAACTTCGGTGGTTTTGTTTTTGAATAAAATTGATGTTTTTGCTCAAAAATTACAATATTCTCCTTTGGAGAATCATTTCCCCGATTATAATGGTGGGAATAATATTAATAAGGCGGCGAAATATATTTTATGGAGATTTAATCAAGTGAATAGAAGTGGATTGAATATTTATCCTCATGTCACTCAAGCTATTGATACTTCAAATATTCAATTGGTTATGGCAGCAGTTAAAGAAACTATATTGGAAAATTCATTAAGAGATAGTGGTTTCTTGTAGCTTTGACTATAAGAACAGCTGCTTATAAGTAACACTTCATTTTGTATTAAATTTCATTCTCTATAGTTGTATTTTCATTTATTATTATTAATTAATATATATTATCATTTTAGTTCACAAAGTCAGGCAAATCTTTTTCTTATAAAAGAAACTATAAAAGTATTAAACATTACTAAACATACACATAAATACAAAAATCTAAAAATTAATTCAACAACCCCCCTTACAGATTTCGTTCCGTCGATGGTGTAGTATTCTCATTCTTTGGTCTAATATAACGCAAATTAAAATTTGTAGGACCTGTTGCCGCTTCTCCATCACCGCTTCCTCCCCTGCCACCACGATATCCCCCTCTTCCACCGCGATATCCACCCCTGTTTCCACGATATCCTCTACCTCGATATCCACCTCTCCCGCGACCTTTGCCTCTGTATGAAGAACCCCCACCAGTTTCTCCCGACGGAGTTTTTTCAAGTTGGGTGCCAGCTGGTTCTGACGATGGATGATGATCTACCAGAGATTCATCGTTTTCAACCTCAGCCTTCAGTCCCAGCTCCTTCACTGGTGTTTGTTGTATATCCTCCTCCTTCTTTTCCTCCTTATGTTCGTCTTGTATTGGCTTTTCATAGTTAGTATTGATATTTTTCACATTTCTGAACTTCTTCGGCACACGTTGTTCTTCCCCATTCTCAACTCCACCAGTATTAGGATCAAAATAGCGTGGGGATAAACCAGTAGTATTATATCCCCCATTGGTCCCAAATCGTTTTCCTCTAATACCATTATTATTTGATACAACTGGTGGTTGTTTTTGTTTTTGGAGATTTTTCGACCGTTGGACAATCTCATCTATATGTTTCTTAAAATCGGGTCTTAAACTCTCTTCCTCATCCCCCGATCTACCTCCCATTTCCTGTTTCTTCACTTCCGGTTGTACTTGAACTTGTGGTAGTACTGGCTGTACTGGTTGTGGTTGTGCCTGTGGTGATTGTGATTCATTTCCATTGGCAATACTCTCATTTATATGTCTGATCTTCCGTTCAATCTCCAATTCCTTCAATTGTTCATTCACCTTCTTCAACCTCTCTTCCTCCTCCTTCATCACCCTCTTCTTAGCCTCCTCCTCCTTTTTTCTCTTCGCCTCAGCCTCTGCCTCGGCTTTAAGCAATTCACTCTCCTTAATAGTCAAATCCACCTTCTTCAATGTCGGAGAAGTACTACCCGCCGGCTTCTTCTTCAACACAATCGGTGCCGCTGGCTTTAACTTAGGAGTAGAGATCCCGGGAGTACTTCGTCTCAGATGTCCAATTGAATTCTTTCCACTACCGGGGGGTCCACCTGATTGTTGTTGTTGTTGATTGGTGGATTCTCGTAAGACGTCAGCTAGGGATTTTCCGGGTGATGTGGTGCCATTATAGACATTTTGGACCGGTGGTTTGGCGGGGGTTAATTTGGTTTCGATTGTGTGTTCTGGTTGTGCTGGAGGGGGGTGGATGAGGACTTGTGGAGGAGTGGGTTGGGGTTGACCGACTTGCAGCTTTCTTCTCCATGGGAGTTCTTCCGGTGGGGTGCCCGTGGTTGGAGTTTCGCGTTTGAGTATAGATATTGGAGGTGGTTTACTAGTAGTCGGTTCAGTTGTGTTTGGAGATTGGAAATCCCCTGTGGATGATTTCCGAGAAGAATAAGACCTAATTGAACTTCTTCGAAGTGTGGGGGATGCTTTTTCATGAAACTCTTTAATCACATGTTCAACATCTATTGAATCTGCTTGATCTCCCAATGTTCGTACAGTTGTTTGATTCAAATTGATTAATTTCTTTTCTATTTCCGCTTGTCTTGATAATACATCTACTGGTTTTGCCGATCCAAATGGATTTGGTTTTGATTTCCGAGGGGATGTAGGTTCTTCTTCTTCTACTGGGTGTGTTTCTACTGGTTTTGCCGCTCCAAAAGGGTTTGGTTTTGGTTTACGTGGGGATGTAGGTTCTGCTGCTTGTGGTGGTTGTGATGGAGGGTTCAATTGATGTAATGGACGTAATGGAGGTAGTGAATGTTCAAAAGATTCTCTTCTTGAAGGGAATGTATTCATTTCACCAAACAGTCTTCTTGGAGATCTTGAACCAGCAAATGATCGATCATTACTATACAGTCTACCAGGAGATCTTGGTCCACGGGAATATTCACCATGATTGTTATTCATTTCAAAAGTATCAAGTAGGGCCATATGTCTTGGTTGATGACGTTGTTGTTGTTTATTAGTGATGAAATCATGTTGAATTCTTTCTAATTCGGCATGATGTTCTTCATTGAATCGAATACAATCTTGGAAATCTTGAAAATCTGCCAATTCAACAATTACTCTTCTGTTCCCCTTATAATATAAATCATACCATTTTAATACTTTTGTTAAATCTTCGCTTGATTCTAATTCAACAAAGGCAATTTTTTTAATGATATGATTTGTTAAGATATCAGAATGTTGATCAATTAATAATTTGAATTTCTTATAAGTTGTAAATCTACTTCTAAATAAATCTTCAATAAATGAATCATTTGCTGTTATTGGAATATTTAATAATTTAGCAATAAATGGTGGACTATAAGTTGTTCTTCTACCAAATGAACCTGATCTTCCAGAACCTGTTCTGGGACCGAAGGGGTCATATGATGTGTGATGATGATGAGTTTCTATTGGTACAGCAATAGAAGACATATCAATTTCTGCATCTGCCCATGATCCTCCAAAAGCTGTAAANGCAATAGAAGACATATCAATTTCTGCATCTGCCCATGATCCTCCAAAAGCTGTAAACTTAGTTAGTATCAATAGGGAAGTATAGTATAAGTAAATAATAAAGTACATACTTTCATCATTGATGAACTCTTGTAAGGACATCTTCTTTGGTGGTGGTGCTATAATGAATTGAGTTAGTAATGTGTATGTTTGGGTTAATTATTGAATATATGGGTAGTCAATTAATCAATTGATTAAAATGTATGGGGTTAAGTTAATCAATTGGGAAAATGGTCTGCCTCCAATCCAATTCAATAACAACACGTGATATAATATAATATAGATGTAAAGCAATACATACCCATCTTTATTCTAATAAATAATAAATATGTAAGTGTATATTCTCTCTTATTGATTAAATAGAGATTTAAGACAATAAGTTAGTCGAATAGTAATTGATGACTGACTTGACTGACTGTTTGGTAAAAATTATCTAAAAATAAATTTTTTTTATTTTTTCTGTTGTTCTGTTGTTTGTTGCTACCAATTTTACTATTATTATTACTTCTATACTTTAACAATCAATCAATGAATACTATAGGAACTATAATCTATGCTATGTTGATAGTAAGGTATATATATATAGACTATAGTATAGTATACTCTTATCTTTCTTCTTATTGTCTTATGAGCAAGTAATAATAATAGTCTATTGTAAGTATAATATATGGAATGGAATGTAGCCCTTAGCTCTAACAAAAGTTTAAAAATAGTAGTATTAACAGCGCTACCATAAACATTGACTACTAATACATTAATTGCATAGATTAATGATTATCTATCTTCTTGACACATTATAGTATTCTCTAATTTACAATAGTCTCTAATGGAATGTAAATATCTTCTAATCCTCATTCCAGTTTCTCACTTGTGGCAATTTCTTGGAAAATTTGACGAACGTTGCCTCTTTTGACTTTTTTCATCCTTACAGAAACGGTTGCTGTTTTACTAGTGTATGCTCTTATAAATACTGATTGCAAAAATTCATATTCTAAACACCTACATGAGAGAATGTTATCTAATGGTAATTTATAAAGATATGCATTTTTTATACTTTTATATAATCAAACTTAAACAAAACAAAACAAATAAAACAAAAAAACTAACAACCGTCTAATCTATAGACCACTGCTCTTACAACCCACTGTACTCATCATAAGTCTTTCTCCAATTCTTAAAGAATCCTTTAAAAAACCTCAACCCCAATCCAACATCTTTACTCCCCAAAGCTGCCCTAATAGAATGCATAGATAATTGAGGTATACCCAAATCAATTGTTCTTGCTCCAGTTTGTAAACTAATCAGGGGTCCAATTGTCCCACCTGATCTAGAATCATTTCTAATTTGGAAATATTGTAATTGGTCATCATTGCGTCTGGCTAATTCTTCAACAAATGCTAATCCAACCGAATCAGTTGCCATATGTCCATTAGGATCTAATGAAATAGTGACTCCCTTGTTGGGGACGGGTTTATGGTGGTCTAAATATACACTAGTGAAATTGGGGTTCACCAAATGAATAACATCGGCCGAAAGGATAATTGTATTGGCATAAGTTAATCTCAAAAGCTCTTGAATATCTCGTTCGTCGGAGAATCGACTGTCGATGATTCTTGAAACTACCATCTCGATTAATCCACCTTTGATCCCCAGTCTAGTTGCAGATCCAATCTCTTCATGATCAACCAATGCCACAATCGAAAATGAATCATCAGCAAGCAGTCCTTCATCCGCAGATTCAATCAACGCATTCATGGCAGCATATGAACAAACCCTATCATCAACCCTGGGCGCGAAAATAAATTCATTATTAAGTCCTCCAATTGTCCCCTTCTGGACATCATATAATTGAAGATCCCATTGAAGAATATCCCAAACTTCAACACCGGCAAGTCTGGCAATATATCTCAACAATTTCAAAGAATGTTTCCCATACAATGGCGCCTTCTTCTCTTCCTCACTAGGCCCATCCTCTTCACCATCCCCATGAAATCCAATTACAGGAACAGCTTGGGTTTCTTTATTAAACGGTCCCACGGCCGGAGTACCAAAATGTGGTGCCAATGTCGGAATATGTGCAATCGGAGCAGGACTACTATCAACCAACACCTGCTCAACCTTTCCATCCTTCTTCTTAACTAATAATCTCCCACCAATACCCAAATCCCTATCCCACCATACATCCCCCAATGTGCCTCCATAGGGTGCCACTCCTAATAATTCATATCCCTCAACGTCAGCCTTGGTTGAATTTGGCTTCAAGATCGCAGTTAACGCATCGATATGTGATCCAATAATACCGATTCCCTTATGGGGTTTCCAATCTTTACTGAATTTGAATGCGACTATCGAAGTTCCATTTCTGATTGTGAAATATTTCCCGGGTTTAGAGGTGAGGGAGGACCAATTGGATGATTCGTCGAGGTAGGTGAACCCATGGGATTGGAGTTTGGTCTTGAAGTGGTTGACTACGTGGTAGATTGTCGGGTTTTTGTATGTGAAGTCGATATAATCGTTAGCGATTGATTCGAGAGAGACAGGGGTGGTGGTGGTTGTAGTGGGGCGAGGAGGAGGTGGTGGAGGTGGGGCGGATAACGAATGGTTGGGTTCTTGGAAGGTTTTATTGATCTCGTTTATGACGATTTTGGCGAGTACTTCTGCCAATTCGGCGGTACTTAATTCTGACATTTTGGTGTGATAACTAATAAAAGCGATTGACTTAGTTTGGTGTATGGAAGAAGAAGAAGAAGTAGTTGAAATGGATTGGGGAAATTTGTTAATTTAGAATGGCAAAATGAAATTCCGTTCCCCCCCCCCAGGAAATTAATTTTCTCGTGGCACAAAACAATTTAAATTAGTAATTGAAGATAAGAACAAAAGGCAGGGTAACCAATTAAACTGTGGTTCCATCGTTTCACAGGCTTTATTTGCAACCAATTGGAATATGTTACTCAGTTGACAGGACATGCAAGGGGACATAAGGATTGTTAAAGGAAAGCATTAGTATTAAAAAGAACTGATACTCTTTGTAGTAAACACTTGAGCTAACAGGATGGGGACTCGATCTTTAGATAATACCCACTAAAAACTCCCTTGAGGGATGCCACACGAAATCGGACATGTTGTTCTTGGTTAGGATGATCATTATTATTTCCCCTCCGCCGTATGGTGAAGTCATAGATGATATTGTCTCTCTGATTCGTGTATTTCAGCTTGGAGAAATCCTTCGTCTTACTTATTTGATAAGGACTGATATTTCAGATGATAACATTCATTTTTGTTAGAAGATTGTTGATTGCGTGGACTTCTCTCCTCCAATTGTATATATCTTCATCATCATTGAACTACGTGTCAGATTCTTCCCAAGTTTTATCACCATCACCAGTGAACATCAAATGCTGAATTTCAATCTTAATCCTAATTCCAACCTGGATTAAGTCAAACTTTCATCCCTTGGAATCAGATTAAAAACCCATCACACCAAACCAACTATTGGTCAGGTGGCTAATTCAATATGAAAGGGTTTACACCTATCCATGAGAATCCAATCCAAACTCTTTCCAGATTGTATGATCACCAGTTCCTAATTTCCATGATTGGACTAGGATTTGATATAACTATGGTTGAAAATGTGGTTGATTCAAAACTCTTAATTTCCATGATTTTTCTATTTTTTGATATAAGTTGAAATGTAGTAGATTTAGAATGAATGGAAAGTTCCCAGATGACCAACTTAGATCAAAGTCAAACTTTCATCTCTAGAAATCAGATTAAAAATCCGTCACACAAAACTGCCCGCTGGTCAGACGGATAATTAAGTATGAAAGAATTTGCACCGATTCATGAAAATCCAGTCCAATTCTCTCACCAAATTGCATCATCACCAACTCTTCATTTCCATGATTGGTTTATGATTTGATGTAAGGATGGTTGAAATTTTGACTTTGGCGGTTCTGGTTGAGTGTTTGAATTCTTGAAAGGATGAAAATCTTCATAATAATATGGGGTAGTAGCGGCATTGGGTTGCTTGTAGACAAAGGAATAGTTGTTTGGGAAGGCTGTTCGTTGTGGGGAAGACGTTTTCAATTTTGTTTAAGTGGTTTCATTTCCTTTCTGTGGTTTAATTGCCGACAAATAAATTTCTTGTTTCTCTCTGACAACTTCAATACCTAGAATAACTCTTTGAACATTATAAGCAAGGATCTTTATTGGATTGGTTATATTAAGCAAAATTGTTGTTTGAATATACATTATTGAATTGGTGGATTTGTTTGTGAACAAGTAAAGACGCAAAAGAAAGAGAAGAAGTTCCAATTTTTTTTGCAATCTGAATGCTGCAAATTCTAATCATTCTGCGAACAACCACAAAAAAATACAAAGGAAAAGAATCTAGACCTCCCATAGACCAAGCACAGACCAATGCTAGCTACAATAATTAAGCATGGTTCATTCCCCCCCAGGAAATGGCCACCTTCGATAAAAAAAACATTCTAATTTATAGAGATAAGCAAAAAGCAGGGTCACCAACAATTATTATGCTGTGGATCCATGCATTGCCCCGCAGTATATCAATGGATCCTTATTTGCAACCAATTGAAAAAAGCCAATCACTTATCACTACTATATATTGTATTATCTACACGTCTCTATCTATATTATATATCACTCTCTAATAAAATCTATTCTGCTACTGGTGCTGGTCTCTCACTGGCAAAAGTAGCAGCCACAATCAATGGGAATACCAAACTAACATCAGCATAAACCTTAACTGATTTAGCTTCTGCCTTGATTTTCCCCCAACTAACAGCTTCATCCGGTCTAGCACCAGCATCCGACCCATCAAATTCTTGTCCGGTATTAATATACACGGCATAATCAGCACCATTTCTCATCAAACATGCATTACAAATATGATGTTTAATCAACCCACCACCCAAGATAATCATCCCTGCTTGTGATGCTTCCATCGACATACAATTGATCTTTCTAATATCTGCCACGATATCAAGACGTAATTGTTGTGGGGACGATTTAAAAGTATGAAAGAATAACATATCACCAATAGAACCATCAGTTAAAGCAGGACAAAAAATTGGGATCTTATTCTTATGAGCCCAATATAATACCGAACTCTCATCATTAATTTCTTTCCCCAACCTATCAATCAATTTCGATGGAGTCCAAATCGCATCCGAATCAGCATCCAATCCATTCGAACCAAGCTTGGACATCGCTTCTTGTTGTTCTTCTAAACATTTATCTAATATAGGAACGATCCATTCTTCAAATTTACAATAATTATCATTTGGAACCAACAAATTCCCAATTCTATTCATTCCTTGATCACGAAGTCCCTTACCTGGTAAACTAAACTCACCCATATATGTAGGTGCCAACACCTTAATCAAATCCTCCTCAATCCCACCAGCACTCGCAACTATCGCACTCACCATCTTGTGTTGGACTAAGAATCTCAATGTATCTCTCAACCCACTAGATATGAGATTTGAAGTATATCCCATAAAAATCGTAGTTTTTTGGAATCCTTCCAGATCGAATTCTCCTTTTTGTGATTCATGATCTTCGAGTTCGGACCTATGTTTTCCCCTCCAGGATCTCATGTTGTTGATAATCAGACAGGCTTGGGAGAGGGAACTGGCTTGGAAACCCATGGTGGACATGGATTGGATGAGGTGGGTTGCGGACAGGTTGTAGGCTGCATCTTGAGAGTAGTCGATTCCTTTGACTTCTTGGAAGTCGGAAGGGATGGGGATGGATGGTTTGAGGACGGCGTCGGATGCTAGGTCTGGTAATTTTCCTGTGGTGGACATCTTTGTGGAATTATGGAGATGATATGAAATGTGGATTGGAGTTTAGTGAAAAAAAAAATTCAGTTTATAGTTATGAGATGCGTCGCTGCAGGAAAATAAATAAATTAATCATACGAGGGTTCCATTTCCCGAGGTGAATATGAAATGCCATAAATACAAATGACTCTTTAAAACGTTAAGATATGTTTATTTTATAAATATATATAAATACTATAATAGAAAGGACAACTAAGACCTTTCCTTTTTGTTACAAAAACTCAATCTCTGATATACAAATGTACTACCCATTCCCTCCGCAGGAATTTATGATATTACACTTATACTTCAAAAAACAACAAAAAAATGCAAATACTAAACCCCATTGAATGGTAATGCCAAACAAATAAGTCCTCTGGGCTACCGCTCATTCATTCTCGTCCATTAATTACAAATTTGCTAGCGCAAATTTCTATGCTCTCTCCCTAACTTCCGGAGTCCAAGCATTACACTTAGGTTTCGCAGTATTATAACAAACATATGCCCCCGGTTTATTAGTATAATTCGGTTTATGTTGAGCCGGCATAGGATATGCTCTTACAACTTTTTCATCCCCCACCAATTTATTAGGAGGAGTATTTGTCCCATATCCCAACCAATAATGCCAACCAGGTTCAACTTGGGACATATCATTATGCCATTGATTATATTCTACCCATCTTGTTCTCATATGGATTTCTTCCGGGGCATCAGTTTCATAGAATTTGTTACCGAAATCATCTTCTCCTACTAACCAACCACGTTTTGTATCGTTGTGATGTTGGATTTGCCAGGCGGCTCTTTTGAGACCGGAACTGTAGATGTTCTTGATTGTACGTGTGAGTGAGGTGGACATCTCTGTGTGTGTTTAATTGGTGTACAGTCCTGGGTGTGTAATGTTTGCTGTTGTATTTGATATCTCTCACTGTCTGTCATTTTTTTTTCAATTGGGGGAGTAACAAATTTTGTTCGATTGTTGATTGGGTGGAAAAATATCGATCACGTGAGCTACGATGAATTTTGTTAATAATCTGTTTCGCTATATTTTAAAGAAGATCATTATAAGGGTTATACATATGTATAGTCTAAAAGAGATATATGGTATACATCTTTCACGAACGAATCCAATGCTTCAACCATGAACTGTCTAATATGTATCAATTGCTATTGAAGACTCTACACAATGAAAATTTCGCACTCTTAAAAATCAATACGCGTATAAATTTCGAACTGAAAAAAATGAAAATGCAAACAAAATTTATTAAACTCTCTTCTTCTTCTTTTATATCATCTCTCTATATACAAACAAACACACTTCTACAATGCTATCCCAAGAACAACAACTCGAAATCGAAAACCTCCAAAAACTCCGCTCAACCCTCCAAGCCATCAAATTATCCACCGATAAAATCCTTCTCGACATAAAAACCGTCCATCAACACAATTATCCCCATCTCGAAAAACAAGCCAAAGACCTAGATTCCAAACCCGACACCTTATACTAATATCCACCCCATTAGTCCAATTTCTTGATGATTGAGAATTTGGGGATATATCTATGTACACCACTTTCAATCACGAGCTTATAATCCCGCTTAATGGCTCCTAGATCGTTTTTATACATCGAGATCAACCTACTCACCTCGGCAACGTTTTCTTCAAGCATTTCAATCGATTTCAAATATCCACCATACCATTCTTCAATATTTGTCAGATCTTCAAGGAAGTGTTTGGATCGATTTCTTTCGATATATTGAATCACATCCTTGAAACCTTTCTTCGATTCGGCAAGGCCCGATTTCACCGCGGTTAAGATTTCCAACGTCCTTAATAAATTATTCCGATTATTATGGAGGTCCGGTTTCGTGGACTCTAAGACCGGTTTGTAATTCTGGGTATAGTTTGGGAAATTGGGCACGCCGATTGATGACCATGGTTTTAGACGAAGATAATAGAGTGATTCCATCGACGTGAGATTATTAACTGGCCCCTGGGTGAAATCGATAAGATGGAGTTTTGATAATGCCACAAGGAAAGATGTGGTGGATTTAAGAAGGAGTTGGAGGGATTTATATGATGGATGAAGATAATCTTGATTATAATTTAAGGTGGATGTAAGTTTTGGTAGGATGATTTCATGGTTATGTTTATTGATTTGTTTTAATTGATCTTTCTTGGTTCCGGTTTTTAATTTCTTGATACGTTTTGGGATTATGGTTTCTAAATGGTGGATTTTCCCGATTATGATTTGGACAAGACGGTTTTGGAGATGATCATTTAGGTTTTCTAATAAATAATCGGCATACCAATAGATCAAAAATGTTTCAAATGGTTTATATAATTCAAGTTGAAATCCATTAAGTAATAATTCAATCATCATTTTGATCTTGGTGTAGTAAATATATGAAGTCACACTGATTGCCAATTCCCCACCGCCATTGGCCCCGGTGCCAACAAATTCATCTCCAATTTTATAATTTTGATACATTTCAACTTCAAATGATTCCCACGAGACTTGTAAAGTATCCCAAAGTAACAACCCCTTCGATAATAATTGTTGTTGTCGACAAGGGTTACTTCCATAAATAGTTAAATTATGAAATATCCCCGCTTCTAAATCATTCCAAATCTGATCATATCTCTCCAAGATCTCCATCCTGGTCATTTCTTTAAGTTGGGATAATTGGGATGGGAAATTATGTAAGATGATAGTATTCCCTCCAACTAGGTTTTCAATCATGTCAAGACAAAGTGTTGGGAGATAGATTTCTTGACTGCCAAAAATCGATTTATCATCTCTTATAAAGAAATATTGAAATAATCCACGAGCGAATACGGAGAAGGTGGAGATGGGGTAGGTTATATTATAATCTAAATAATCTTGAAGTTGATTGATGGAGGAGATTTGATTTGATTTTGAAATGAAGGTTTTTATGGTGGTGAAGATACCTGATAGATGTTTACATGCGATTGAAAAATCAATATTGGGGAGTTCTAAGGGGATGTTTTTATTTTCCATATCGACTTGAATGAATTTTGAAAATGTTCCTACCGGGATTATTGATTCATCAAAGGTGAATGATTGGAGTTTGGTGATTTGTGCAATACCTTCGGAATATAAACTAAGATCAATTTGGTCATGTGGTTGAGGTTGTAAGAATTGAACTTGGGTTGATGAAATTGATGATTCAATTTTTAATAAACATATAATCACTTTTAATTGAGTTATAACCACATCAGCCTGATTTATTTCATTAGCAATTATCCATTCTATAACATCATTAATCTCATCAATTAAGAATTGTGGCATTACATCTTCCAAGAAATTTAAGCTCATTTTTCTAGTAGTTATATCTTCTTCTTCGTATAAAAAAGTTTTAGCAATCTGTAATACAAATCCAATAAATCGACATAATCCCATACAAAACACTTTTAATACTTTATGTACCAACATATATTCCACCCCATTCGTATCCCCCCATTCTTCTTTCTGCTCCATTCGATCCAGATAAAATGAACATTGATCAAATATTGAACTCCGTTTCGTTAAATAATTCTCCAACATAGTTTGAACATATCTACAACTCAATACCGTCACCGGTAAACTCTCATTCATTAACCAATGGACAACACATTTCAATAATTTCGTTTGAATATTTATAATCACCTCGATCGATTGTGGAGCAGAACAATCGAATTCATAATCATGAGGGTCTAATGTAATCAAACCAGTGTCTAGTCTTGGATTCAACACTTCTAAAGCGCGTGTTCCTTCCAAAAGTTCGAATTGGTCGGCTTTCACGACTTGGTTATTGGTGATTTGGAGGAGGGATTGAAATAGGGAATCGGTGATGTCGATTAGCTCGGTGTCATTTTCGGTGTCATTTTCGATCTTGAGGGGGTCTATCATTGTGTGTTAGTAATCGGAATGGGTTCAATTGAGAGGGGAGGATGCACATACCCAATGTCAACATGACTGTTAATCTAGGGGGATCTATAATCAAGGAGATCAAGTTTTTTACAACCATTGTATCTTATTGCTGAAAAAAAAAATTGGTTGGGTTGAAAAAAAAAAATGCTGGTCGTGTGATAACCGGATATCATGTCTTCCTAACCCGATTCTACAATTCTTTTGTTGCAAAAAAAATCACTTCTATTAGTTCAGAAGGAGGGTTTGTTCTATTCCTTTTGATTTAAAATTAAGAATGAGATATTAGATGACTTAAGAATGTTTGATTGAATATAGTTTGCTCTTTATAAAGGCAAATGGCACATCCGAGAAAACAGTTATGGTAAGTTCATTCGTTATAGTCCGAAATACAACTGGTGTTTCACAATAACTTAGATAAATTACAGTAGCTAGAAGTGAGCCGTAGTTAGAATACAAGTGATGATTTGGATTAAAAGTTCATGATGCTGCTTATTACGAAGATTATTGGTTAATACCATGCCATATGTATTTCCAACCGATATAACCCAAAGGATTCAGGCAAAATTACTATAGAAATGCACACTAGCACACCACCCGTGTATATCCATGAGAGGATTAATAACACTAGATGGGATAAGGATGAGAGGATATAAACAATAAAATTACCAAAATTCTTTCCAAGATTTCTTGTGCCTTCACCCAAGTCGTCATACTACTCCTGGTCATTCTTTCTGAGTTTGCCACTTCTTTCTTTGGGGTATTCTTGGCATTCTTCTTTTACTCTGATTTTTTATTTACTGATTTTTATTTGCCGCACTGGAGTTTACAAGTATCTGATAATTCAGACTAAAAGTGCGGCAAATAAAAATCATTAAATAAAAATTCAGAGTAAAGAAGAATGCCAGGAATACCACAAAGAAAGAAGTAGCAAAACTCAGAAAGAATGACTGACGATTCGGATGAAGGTACAAGAAAGAGTCACGGTTGTTGCATGTCTTACAAATGAGTAGAATAAAAAAAGAAGCAATGAAAGAAAAGTCATTTCAATAATTTCAATATTTTGCAACCAAATCGTAATTCAATTCAAATTGACATGTTAGTATATTTTATATGAACTTAGATTATCGAGAAGAGAGAACAATGCCAGCGTTTTGAATAATAAATATTACAATAAAAATCCCACACTAAGTAATCAAACCCCTATATATTGTCAACGTCTTCATTCTTTCAATTGAATGTTACTAAGTATACAATCAACAACAATAGTCAAAGCCTTCTGTCAAACCCCGAAGATTTATTGGAGTGGGGTGGAGAGGATGAGGAAGTGAATACTTCTAGAAGGTAGAATATGAATTCATTAAGTTATATAAAGGGTAAGTCATGTCTCATTATCTATTGGAATCGTTTAGAGACAAGAATGATTATAATTGGCTGCAAAAATTAACAAAGAATATTCGAACTTGTTGAGTTTAAAAAAGCCTATTCATGCAAATATAGCCGCGATAACTCCTACTTTGTAAACTAAGTTCATATACATGTACTATCAATTGGATAGATCATATGAATAGGAGTCATTATGGATAGACAAGAAGACTTTCCAATAGATATTCTAGAAATACGTTATTTCCCCAATAAAAAGAAAACAGTTCAACAAAGAAGAAAAAAGTAAAAAACTTCAGTCCAAACTCCGCGGTAATTTTTTATTCATACAACAATAAAAAATTGATCCAGTTATGGAAGCCCACCCCGTAACAACCGTAGTTGTTTAACAATACAAGCACAAAAACCCTCAAATGGATTGAACGGCTGATCGGGGGGAGGGGTCATGTAGATTAAAACTCACCAATTTCAAGCACAAATGACTCATATCCTATCTCGGTTATTATGGATTAGCCGTGAGTCCATGTGGGTCATTAAATTTAAATGAAGAAGTTTAAATATTTTGATTTCGGTGATAACATAGTTGGATACATTAATTTACGTCATACCTTAGATTTAGTATAGAATAGTATAGTAGTATCGTATGTGGTGGTGACAGTATGAAAAAATAAAGGGGGCAAAAAGGAAAGATTTGAATTATTTTCTAAGAAAACAAACAATGAAGTTAAAATCCGAAGTTGACTCCGAAATGGTGGAGGGGTCTTTACTACTAATAGTAGTTTACAAGTAAAGAAAAACGGTTTTATTTTTATGGCTTGAAGTATGAAAATATAAAACAAAGGAAGGAATGGGGGACCAAACTGAAGAAATCTAATGTACTATTCTAGGGTATTTGATATATACGTGTCTGTTACTTTAGAGTATATCAATCGTAAAAAAAGACACAATAAAGTACAAGAGAAAGCCAGTAAATATCATATGATTGTTTATTGTAAAGAGAGAAGTATAAAGAATAAAGTAGAAAGAATATTGTATAACAGAAGAATAAGTCGTGTAAATTGATACAAATAATAATTTAAATTTTCTTTATTGTTTCATTATTTCGCAAAGTTCTTTTAAAAAATAATAATAATTCTTTGGAGGGGTGATGATTACTAATTAAAAATCTATGGCTCTTATTTCTTTATAAAACTACAGTTAGATTTCTTCTTTATTCTTGTTTTTATATAAATTTGGATTTTACAACTCAACTTTTACTTTTTCTTTAACTACATTTATTATACAACCAAAACAATAACAAAATAGATTTAGATTGATATTAAATCATTCAGAATCTATTAACATTTACTTACTTTACTTTTACTTCACTCTCCTAATCTAGAACAAAGGAGAAGAGAAATACAAATATTATTATCTTAAAAAGAAGGGACTTTCAAATCAACTAATAAAAAGATTAATAGAATATTATACATTTATATATATATATATACAAACACACAACTACACACACACAACTACAACCACAACTACACACAACTACACACAACTACAACAGAACTTAATAGCATCTAAGTATCAAGTTACATAAATACATTAATAATAAAATCATGATGACTGACACAAAGAGAAATATATCAGAAGTCATGATTGACTCTTATCCTTATGATGATGATGATACTCATGATGATAAGAAAGCCCATTCAAGACCAGGTAGAAAACCAATTGAAACTGAACCTAAATCAAAAAGAACGGCTCAAAATAGAGCAGCTCAACGAGCTTATCGTGAACGTAAAGAACGTAAAATGAAAGATTTAGAAGATAAAGTTAAATTATTAGAAGATGCAAATGTACGTGCTATAACAGAAGCTGATTTCTTAAAAGCTCAAGTTGATGTATTAAAAAATGAATTGGCAAGATATAGAGGTCATGAAGATTTTTCTGATTTAAAATTACCAACAAAAGTTGGACATTTATCAAATCCTGTCAATAATTATGATGAAGATTTATCATCTTCAAATATATCATCCAAAAGTTCAATTGATGGTAATAATAATAAACATTCTAATTTAACTTCTCCATCGAATAGTTTTTCATTTGAGTTTCCTTGGTCAAAGAATAATATACAATCCTTGAAGCAACAACAACAATCACGACAGTTTAATCATCCAGGACTGATTCAAGAAGAACAAGTTCCTGATTTAGTACTGGGTTCTTCCTCTTCGACTTCTCCATTAAATGATAATTTATTAGTATCTCCAGAATCTTCAATTGCTTCATCTAGTTATGTTCCAAATGGTATGTCAACAAATTTAGATTTTACTAATAATAATACTTCCGGTTTTGATGAACAAGTTGATAATTTTTGTGCTAAATTAGGTGAAGCTTGTGGTACAAGACAACAACCAATACCTAAATATAAAAGAAAATCGACAACTTTAAATCAATATTCATCATATGATTCTCCATTTTCAAATTTAGTAACTCCAATTTCGAATACTATGGATTATTCAAATGATCCATTTTTCTTGGGAAGTACCACCTCATCTGATTTCAAAGTTCCAAACAACAAACCCAGACCACAACTGACCAACTCCAACACCTACGCATTATCATTCCTAAATGACAACAACTTCGACGTTTCTCTCGCATTTGGAGACCCATCCCCATCCAAACAAGCCGATGAAGATGAATTCGACCCCGTCGCCCTTCTAACAACAGAAGAATCAATCTATGACCAAACAAAGTCCCCTAACAACAACACCAATAACAACAACAATAACATAAATGTGAATTTCAACTTTAACGACTTCCTCAAAACCGCACTTCCAGAACAATCACCCTCCTCCACCACCGGCTCCAACAATAACTATACCACCAGTCTCAATAATGTCGACCAATCCTCCAGTATCCTTCTACCCCAGGAAGATGAGTCAGATGACGAAGTGGTGCCAGCACCGGCGGATACGATTGAATGTAGTGAGATTTGGGATAGGATAACGGCTCATCCTAAATATACCGAGATTGATATTGATGGGTTGTGTAATGAATTGAAGGCGAAGGCGAAGTGTAGTGAAAAGGGGGTGGTTATTAATCTGAGTGATGTTAATCTGTTGTTGGAACAGAGTGCGAAGGTGAGGCGGTAGCCGAACTGATGATTCTACGTAAGGTTCCGCGATAGCGGAATCTGAAGTTGAATCTATATTTGATGTGGAATCGTTATGGCAGAAGGAACGGAATCCGTGATTGCGGAATCTATACATACTGAAGAATATCTATTTGTTTGATCCCGCCGAGGCGGAATCTATGTATTGAAAGATTCTAGTTTATGATTTGTTTGATTCCAATGAAATCCATTTTAATGGATTACAGATTTATGCCTATACTAATTCAATTGAAGAGTGGATTTATGAAAGAATTACAAATTTATGTCTTGATTCTTATTGATGAAGAGTTGTTAAAGAATGGGTTTATAAAATATGGACAGACCCTGATGAATACATGATGTCGGTTTTATTTAATGTTTTATTATTTGTATATACTATTATACCTATTTTGTATACCTTTGTGTATTAAAATCCCCCAAAAAAAAGAGAACTATACATTTAACTAATCACTATCTACCTCTTCTTCATCATATTCAACATCAGCTTCTTGGTCAAGAATATCATCGATTTCTTTTAATTCATCTTCGAAATCATTCGCAAGGGGGTTATATATATTGCCCTTAGGGGTAGGAGTTCCTTCTGATTCTTTACTGACTGGTTTTGATTCATCATCATCATCATCTATGACTTGGATCAAACTGATATCAGCTCTGGATTTTTTCGGGATAATATCAGATAAATCAATTCCATAATCCGATTCCTCTTCATCATCTGATTGTTCACCCTCCTCCTCACTCTTGTCTGATTTCTTATCATCTTCATCAAGAGTCACCACCACAGCCTGTTGAGTTTCGAGTTTGACCTTCCCCGTCGATTTATTCTTCTCCTCATTGATATCCAAAATTTCCAAATCACTTTCAATCTCCTTCACACTCGTATCCACTTCCCCTTGTTCTTGAAGCGCCGTCTCATACACTTCCTTCACATTGGTTTCAAACCCATCAAACACCTTCTGACAACTCCTCATCAAATAATCTGCACATAAACTCTCCCTGTCCATATATTCTTTCGTCTCCTCTACAGTCTTAACCAATTTCATCAATATCTCAATTGAAACCTCGGCCGAAATGGAAATCTTATTCAAATTATTCAATATCGCCCGTTTGACAACTTTTGACACTGCCTGATCCATCACGATTTTCAAAAACCCCAAAACGAGTTCTAGATGAGAAGTAGTATGTTCCAGTTGTTGTGATACATTCGCCAAATTTGTCGGATCACACCATGAGATCAATTGTGAAATGATACTAGACGCCTTTGTAGTCGTCGTTGGTGTTTGTTGTTGGTCCTCTTGGAATAATCTAATGATAACATCCGACAGGATTCTCGCAAGTCGGAGTTGATGGGCTGGTTTCGAGAATGCATAGACGGGGATACAAAAACTGAGAATTTGATATAGGTCATGATTATTATCACTAGGGTTGAAGTAGGTATATACCAAAACCTCAAACAATTGATTATCAATCTCCGCCACCCCAAGCTCATCCTCATCCTCATTATCGTTTCCTGTTGTGTCGCCTGACGGCGTCATGGAATCAAACACATCGGCAAGAAATAACTTACACAACCCTTCAGCAACCACACATTGTAATTTCGGCATCTCATCGCCAATCAAAAATTTATAAAACAATCGAGCATACATAATCATATATTTCCCCTCAATTATGCCAATCCCATTCATGGCCAAAATATCCATCACCGCCTTGATACCCACCACCCTAACTTCCTCACCAGTGGCCTTCATGGCTTGATATAATGTCATCATCGCGTCTTGAACAATAGAGTTGTCAATGAGCAGGAATAGCCCCAAACAGCGTAGCCCTTGGATGTGTAAGGTTGCCTTTTCACGATGGGCGATTGCATAGTTGACAAGACCGGAATAGAGGGATGATAGCGAGATATGATGGTTTGAAAGTGGTTCTTCGATGAGTTCTAGGAGATGCTGAGTCATTATTAAACATCGGGTAACGATTTCGTCTGGGGGGAATTTCGGTTCAAGACGGCGACGTTTTTTATTGGTGGATGGATCTCCTGGTTGTGATTCAGTTTCTTCTTCATCATCATCATCGTCGTCGAAGTCATTAGTATCGGAACTTATCCCACCCTCGGCCTCCGCCTCGTCACAAGAATCTCGAATATCAGTTATGATTTCCGTCGCCATGGCGATAAAATCCTTCAGATTATTACTCACCGATTTCATCACCCTAAACCCAACAGCTATCATCTCACTAGGTAAATTCCTAACACTCAACGCATTTCTAATCACATGTAACATCTTCCTGCCTCCATATTCATCAAAATCATACGATTCGGCAATTTGTAATAATTGCATAATGATGAATTCTAACATTTTTAATTCTTCCTCAAAGGGGATATAATCGTCTTTATGATCGGCGTAGAATTTAGTAGTGTGGTCGATCCGGGCTTGGCCGGCTTGGGTGCGTTGAGGGGAGATACGGTCGAATTGGGCTTTGAGGTGTTTGATCTGGGACTCGAGATGGGATTTTTCGGATTGGAGTTGGTTGAGATTGGTGGAGATTTCGTTGATTGTGGATATGAGTTCTTGTGGCGTCATTTCGGAGGTTTGGGTGAGGATTTTTTGGATGAGTTCGTCATTGGAGGTGGTTCTACGGCGGGAAATACGGCCAGATTGGATTTTTTCGAGAATGTCTTTGATTCGAATGTTTTCCGATATGTCTGATTCGAGGTTTGATAAACGTTTGTTTTCTCGTTCGGCTTGGAGGTTTAATTGACGAAGTTGAGTATCGAGGATGAAATAATCATTTTTTAATAATTCGGCTTGTTGTTCATGTTGTTCCCAAAGTTGAACTAATTCTTGATCTTCTTGTAAGGTTCTTGTTCTAACTATGAAATATTTCTCTAATGTTTCAGCTAATGTTAATGGATCAGGGAAAATTGAATCAATTGCATTTTGCATATTATTATTTCTAAGATATGTATAAAATGTCCGAAGTAAAAATGCTCGTTCAACCGTTAATGATTTCCAATAAGATGAATCAAAATTAAATTCAGTTAATTTATCACTTCTATTTTTAAAAAATATCATCATTGCTCTTTCTGCAGTTTCGGTTGATTCAATTATATTTAATAATTCAATAAAATCATAAATATCTTCATTCACCGATTCAAACCAATGACTAGTAAACATCTTTATTGCCGCTTGTTGAACAGTATCATTTCGATCCAGTAATCCCCATTTCAATAAAAATTCTCGATATTTCCCTGGAATATTCTCCATCCCACCCAATTCACGAGATATTCTCGAATATACCAATCTTCTATTAATCGCATTGGTATCACGAGCCCGTTCAATTACAAATGGTAAATTTTCTTGAGTCTTAGTTAGGTTTATAAGTGCCGCCCGTCTAACTTCTGCACTTTCATCATTTTGTAAACAATTAATAATGGCACTTTTATCATTAATATCATCATCATTCAAGATTTCATCATGATTGGAAAAGGTTTGGAAATGAGCAATAGCAACTACTGCATGTAGACGGACATATGGTTCTTTATCATGAATACGCTGATTCATTGATGCTCGTAAGGATTTAAAGATTTCGGGATCCATTTCTCCAATATAACAAACTAATGAACCTAACATTTGTACTACTCTATAACGGACGTTTTTATCTTTGGCATCAATACCACGGAGTAAATGATTAACTAGATAGTTTGTAAATGCAACTGTATGGGATATCTCTTCTTCTTCTTCTTCTTCTTCTTCTTCTTCACTTTGTTGTTCCTTTTGTTGTTGTTTTTCAAATTCATCTTTACTTAAACTTTTAACAAATGAACTACAAAATTTGGATATTCTTTCAGCAGATTGTTCACCTTTCTTTAATGGTAATATTCTATTTAAACATTTTGTGAAATACATAAAGAAATATTCTTGTTTATTTAATTCAATTGATTTATTAAAAATATTCTTTAATACAACCACCAATTTACGATGACCTGATAAATTCATTTGAGCATCTTGAAATATTTGTGATATTGCTTGTTTGATTTGTGTGACATCATTAAACTCATCTATACTGGCAAGTGTTGCCCTTATTGTTGATCCATTCATCCGTTCCCCTGTTAGATATTTATCGAAGGAAGAAAGCAAGAAGAATAGAAAATTGGGCAACAACAGATCAACAATAATTGTTGTTTACATTAAAAAAATCCCTTAAACAATAAATCCCCCAAACGCGCGTTTCATACTATATAGGTCGTGTAACTGTGGATAATTTTAAGTTTGACAGAACGAAAAAAAATCCCAAAAGTTTGCCAATCTGTTTCAATAATTAACACAACACAAAGAACTAACCCTTGTTTAATTGCCACAAAAATTGAATTGATAATCGCATAGACTAGAAAAGTATAAAAAGAAATGAGCGGTACGGGAATCGAACCCGTGACACCTGCTTGGAAGGCAGATATGTTAACCACTACACCAACCGCCCAGTGATTTACGAATTTTGGAATTTTTCACCTGGGGTTGTCATGTCAGATTGTACGGGTTTCCGACCACAATATATATTCCACTGTTAGTAACTGGTCTGACTTTTGCCTCCATAGCTCTAATGATTCAGGACAATAAAATATGTGATGTAACAAGTAGAGCTATGGAGGCAAAAGTCAGACCAATTACTAACAGTGGAATATATATTGGGGAATCCTACCCTTTCCCCGCGAGAATTTAAATGTATCAATGGATATCTAAAGGTTATCATTCAGAAAGTGGAACGACGACGATGCTGACATTGAAAAATTGTTGGCTCGTTCGTTTTTCTGCTTTCTTTTAAACCTTTATTTTCCATAACCGTTGTTTTTATTACAGTTTTAATCCAAGTCCTATTATTAATGTTAAAGATATTTCAAATTAAGAAAAAGTTGGTTTTTTTAGTGAGTATGCCTATTATAGGAGACTCTCACACGCGACTGTGTCTTCTGACATAGTTAGCCTATAAAAGGTTTTTTGAACCACTTAGAGTTATAAGTATGAATCCCTCCTTACATTGTCCAGGAGGCGCATATATTTCTATATAGATTCTCTTGTTTTTATATAGGCTACAAATATATATGATTTTAAGAAAAAAAAAAGACCATATTCATTAAATAAACCAACTTTCCTATATTTGAACATATTATATTTTTTTTTTTTACATATACAATTTGTTTATTGAGTTCACATATTATAACTTTTTCTTAATTTGGAACATGTTGAACGTTTTAGTTTTCAATATGTTTCCAAATTAAGAAAAAGTTGGTTTTTTTAGTGATTGTATATGTAAAATAAAAAAAGAGTATGGCTAATTTAGGAGATTCTCACAATGAGACTGTGCTTTTAGGCATAGTTAGCCTATAAAAGGTTTTTTGAACCACTTAGAGTCATAATTATATGTCGCTCCATACTTCGTCCAGGAGGCGTATATATTTCTTTTATAGATTCTCTAGTTTTTATATAGGGTCAATATAGGTGATTTTAAGAAGAAAAAAAACGGCCAATTTATGAGGGAAGAATGGACATGGTTCATAATGAAGATGTATTGATTAAATTACTGAAGGTGCTGGACTTGAACGTTGTAAGGACGGGCTTCATTTTTGCTCTTTAAGATTATCCATTTTGAGAATTATTTCTTGCTGGTCTGGAATATTTTCTTATCAGTCACATTTATCATATTTCCCTTTCTGTCATCATCGAGAGTTGTAAACTTCACTAATGATATGACTTCTTCTTAAGATTTTGTACAATTCATGCATAAGATGATATATTGTTTTTTGAAGGGATGAAACCAGTTTTCCAATATCTGACAAAAATTGTACCAAAATCCAACAAAAAATCTCACTATTTGACAATAATTGTCCGAATCAACACCACGACAAGGTGAAGTTTGTGTATCCGTGCCTTACTAATAGTTATTTCTTGCGTGATGCAAAATAGAAGCTAATTCCACTGGCTGAGACGCAAAATTAAAACTATTCAAACTTTCTGGAAACGGAATACTAGCGAAACAATTCTTGAAGGAATTGTGCAATAATTAATTAGGGGAAAATCGAGATCATCAAAGTTTTCTAGCCGCCAATACCGTCGGGATCGGTTCACAATTGAAACCTCAGTTCACAATCCTATTGCAATTGAACGCGAATTAGGTTCTTCTCTCGTTCCCCAGTTTGTATTGAGGTAGTCGTTCGTATACGAGCACTATGTGAACGGATAAACATGTTTCGGATGTTCTTTCGGTAGGTAATTCTGATCCGAAGTCTATAGCCTTCATTCCTCCATTATTAAGATATCGCTTTCTTGAAAATGGGTTTAATGTGATTGGATAAGATCAATGTCTTGTAAGAAATCTTCCAAAAATGGTTGCAAAAGTAATAATAATAATAGGCTCGTACATTTGTTTGTTCATCAATTGATGAAATTCAATGCTTATTTATATATGTATACGATTGAACCCCAGTTCCTAATAGAACGATCGTATACTCGTATACCCCCATGTTCTAGCCAAGTAATATTTAAGTATAATACGTCATTTGATGTTTATCGCAAAATGTAACTCATTGATAATAGAAGAATAATAGAAATATTCTAAACGACGACATTTTCCACAAACTAAGTTTAAACGAGCAATACGAGATGCATATATAAAAAATAATTTATTTTTTCTAATAAACACAACCGTCAATTTCTTAAAAAAAAAAAAAAAAAATTTAATTTTCTTACGCGCTGTGAATTTTTCTTCCATTCAGTTTCTTTCTTTCTCGGTGGAAGTATTTGTATTTATTTTAATTTTAAATTTTTACCACTTTTCTTTCTTTCTCTTTCTTTCACTTCTTCTTTTTTTCAGTAAGGTTTTCTTCAGATTCAACTCCAAATCTATTAACATAATATCTCAATACTAATATTTCAACATGTCTACTGTTACTCCAGTCAAATTAGCTGAAAAAGATCATGAAAGAGATCAACAATTCACCAAGGCAATGCATGGTAAATCATACAAAAAAACTGGTTTATCCGCTTTAATGGCCAAATCAAAAGATGCTTCTAATGTCGCTGCCGAAGGTTATTTCAAACATTGGGATGGTGGTGTTTCTCAAGAAGATGAAAAGAAAAGATTGGGTGATTATTCTCAATTAACTCATCATTATTATAATTTAGTCACTGATTTTTATGAATATGGTTGGGGTTCTTCTTTCCATTTCTCAAGATATTATAAAGGTGAAGCTTTTAGACAAGCTACTGCTAGACATGAACATTTCTTAGCTCATAAGATGAACCTTAATGAAAACATGAAGGTTTTGGATGTTGGTTGTGGTGTTGGTGGTCCAGGTAGAGAAATTACCAGATTTGTTGATTGTGAAATTGTTGGTTTAAATAATAATGATTATCAAATTGAAAGAGCTAATCATTATGCTCAAAAATATAAATTAGATCATAAATTATCTTATGTTAAAGGGGATTTCATGCAAATGGATTTCGAACCAGAATCTTTTGATGCCGTTTATGCTATTGAAGCTACTGTCCATGCTCCAGTTTTAGAAGGTGTCTATTCTGAAATCTACAAGGTTTTAAAACCAGGTGGTGTCTTTGGTGTTTATGAATGGGTCATGACTGATGAATATGATGAAACCAATGAAGAACATCGTAAGATTGCTTATGGTATTGAAGTTGGTGATGGTATTCCAAAGATGTATAAGCGTGAAGTTGCAGAACAAGCTTTAAAGAATGTTGGATTTGATGTTGAATATGAAAAGGATTTAGCTGATGTTGATGATGAAATCCCATGGTATTATCCATTGAGTGGAGAAATGAAGTATTGTCAAACTTTTGGTGATTATTGGACCGTTTTCAGAACTTCTAAACTTGGTAGATTAATCACTACTGAAGCTGTTGGTTTAATGGAAAAAATTGGTTTGGCTCCAAAGGGTTCTAAACAAGTTACTTTTGCTTTGGAAGACGCTGCTATTAATTTGGTTGAAGGTGGTCGTAAGAAATTGTTTACCCCAATGATGTTATACGTTGCCAGAAAGCCATTAGAAGCTTCTGATTAGGTTTGCCTTTCAACTTTAGATCTATAGTGTATATTTTTCAGTTCTGTATAGTCATTGTCACGTGATGATGATGACATTATTTTACATTGGTTTGTGTATATTTTCAAATATAGAAAATTAATTAATACATATTTATTCTTAACTTTCCTACCCTCTTTGAACATTCTCTATTGGAATGGGTATCTCAATAGTAAGCTTTACACGTGGGTTTTGATTTGCCTTACCAACCTTATAATTCTTAAGAATTTTCGCAATCATTTTCATTTTTCCCCCAATACTTCTTCCCCCACAGCCTTCACCCCCAAAATTATATAAATATCTTTCATTCCACCAATTAGTTACCAAACCCTCCTCCGACATTATAGCCAACTGGTATAATAACACTACATCACACTATAAATTCATCCCACAATGACATTCCCCCACCTCTCCGATCCAAACATCGAAGGCTATCAAACCGTCCGCAAATTCTGGATCGAATACTACAACCCCCAACAACAAACCTTCATCTCCAAACGGAAATGTAACGGCACCTACGACGACCACAAATTCGTCATCTGGTCAATCGCCGTCGCCGTCCAATCAATCATCGACGGCGCCCGCTTGTTTCCCGAACTCCACCCAATGATTGATCCTGCCGTTATGATCTTCCAAAAATACAAAAACCGCAGAATTAAAGGATATTCCGCCGCCGAGAACCCAAATGGGGATGATATGGATATTTATTACGATGATGATGCCCAGGTTGCCAGTTGTATGATTACGGCGTATGAAGTGACTGGGAATCGCAAATATATGGACCAGGCTTATGAATTGGTGGAATTTTTGATGACGGGGTGGAATAATGACCCTAAGGCAAGAACGAAGGGGGGAATGTGTTGGCATATTAAGAATCATTATTTGAATGCTTGTACGACTGCCGAAGTAGCCAAATGTTGTTTACAGATTTCGAAATATATCCCGCTGAGAAGTAGGGAATATATTGATTTTGCTGGCAAGTGTATTGATTGGCAGATTGGAGTTTTACAGGATCCTGAGGATAAGTTAATTATGGATGGGGTTCAGGATACCGAAGTGGATGTGAATAGGATGAAATGGACATATAATCTTGGTACCACTTTATCTGCTGCCGCTCAGCTATATGCAATTACGAGAAATCCTAAATGGAAACGAATTGCTGATGAATTAGCTACGGCAGGAATAGACCTGAATGTATTCTTTTATGATCGCGACTATGAACATTCAAAGAGATATTGGAGAGATGGGTCGTATTTTGTACAATTGTTGATTGAAGGATTGGCGGATTATTTATTATATGTGGGAAGTGAAGTCTCACCGGATTTACGTACCAGGATTCATGACGAAGTTAAGAAACATTTAATCATGTTTTATGAATTCATGAAGGATCCCAAGACTGGATTATACATCCAAAGTTTTGAACCACATCATACATATCGTGAGATTTACGATACTAAATATATGAAATATTTCGAAGGGAAGAAATCTTGGGAATTGAAGAGTGAAGATAGGGATGATGATACAGGCGAGGCACAGATGTGTTTAATGGGATGTGGAGCCGCTGCTAGAGTATTCTTTCAAGGGGCACGGATTGTCCCTAAGATTGATCCGTATAATGACCTTCATTAATATACACAGTTTCTATATAAATTAGTTTACTTATTCTAAATTTTCAATTTTGGTAAATTAAAAGCAGGAGTAGTAGGTAATGCAAAATAAGGTCTTTCAATCACGACAATTTCATTCTCACCAAAATCACAAACCTTCATAATTGGCCTATACTTCTCGGTAATAAAGAATGGTTTTTGATTACCACTACCAGACCTACCATTAGTCAGTTGTTCATCATCTTGGATCTGTTGTCTCAATCTATCAATCTCTCTCTGTTTCAAAGAAGTCTCCAAAACTTCTACATTCTCATCAACCTCACCAGAAGCTTCGTCTTCAATTATACTCAACCCATTTCTATTTCTCTTTCTCCCACCACTACCACCAGCATTCTTGAACTCCTTACTAATAGGAATATTCACACTCAAATCAAAATAAACCAACCAAGCCGATCCAAATATCCACAACTTCTCATACTTAACAACCATACCTTGGGGTTTATCTTCCAAACTCGTGAATTGTCTAGGCAAGAATTCGCTATTTCTTCTGGACCAAGGGGTTTGTAATGTTTTGGATTCAGTTTGATTTATATAGAATTCAAAAATCTTGTTATCTTCAGTTAGGACTATTAATTTTTCATTGGTTGAACATTGTAATAAATGAGCATATGAAGATAATTTGGTGAGGATATAGGCAGGGGAGGTGCCGTTTAATGGATAGATCTCGATTTGGCCGTTATATCTTGATATAATCAAGTTTTGACAATCGGGAGAAATGATAAGGTTGTTTATACATGATGCATGTTGGAGTTTGTTGGAGGTGGAATTGGTGGAAGGGGAAGGTTCGATTTGTTCGATTTCGGCGGATAATTCGATTCTGGATTGTTCGGGGTTGATATCGAATTTGTATAATTCTTCTTCTGGGGTAACGATTAATAATGTTTTACTTTCAATGAATTTGATTAATTTGGCACCTTCGATTAATGAATCAAAACTTTCATCTCTGATTTTATGAACGTGTAATTTCCCTTTGGTTGATTCTTCCAATTGAAATAACTTAACTGAAGTTAATTTGGAAACTGCTAATAAATTAGATTCAGAATTATAATCAACACTGGTGATATTTTCATCATCAGCTAATGAAACTTTACAAACTAATTTATATTTCCCATTCTCAAGAATCTTCCAAATCTTAACTTGTTGATCTTGCCACATAATAATCAATCTCTTGCCTGAATCAACAATCACATTAGAAAGCTGTTGATTAATTAATAATTTCTTGTATTTACCATCATGGAATTGTTGAACATGTTGAACCACAATTGCTCTTTCTACTCCACCACTAACCAAAAACCCATATCCTCCTTTATTTTCATAAATCGACATGGATCTAATATCATTCGAATGCAATAATCTATTAAAACTGTGAACCCACTTAGATGATGTCTTTGTAGATATCAAATCAAATTGATGAATCTTACGATCAACACCACCTGAAAAGATCTTCTCTTCATTCACATCATGAACCAAACATAAAACATCTGCATCATGAACCTTAAAACTCTGCAATAAAGTATAATTCTCCAAATCCCAAATCTTAACCGATCCAGTAGAATCACCACTAATCAATTGCCCTTTGTTTTCCATAACACTAAGTGACCAAACCAAAGTACTTTCAGTCTTTGATTTGTCTACCCTCATTGTTCCCAAAATTCTTCCCTTAGTTTCACCATCAGCACTCCATACTCTAATCCTCCCATCGGCACATCCTCCAACAAGACGTGCTGGTTGGTTCTTGTTGTCCCATTTTATACTCAACACTCTCGCATCTTGTCTTTGACAAATTAGGTCATATTCCATAAATCCTGGACCTCCAGATATATCCACGATCACAACCGAACCATCATCACATCCGACAGCTAATTTCTGATTGTTGGAACTTACATCTATAGACCAGATGATCCCGGCATTACAATCATAATTAGTGATTGGTTTTCCAGTAGATAAATTCCATTCAGTAATATATGTAGATCCACCAACTGAAAACAATCTAGGTGATTCTGTTCCCTCGGGTGAGGTTGCCCAGACTAATCCTTCGATTGAACGGCCTTTGGAACCGGGTAATGTGAGTTCATGGGTCCAATTATATCTTGGGTTCCAGATTTCGATGTCTCCATTGCTTCGACCTATGGCGAGACGTAATTCTGATGAAGGGGGTTTGGTGGAAAGAGTGGATGGGTGGGAGAAGGCGGTGGCGGTGATGGTGTGTGGTGTATAGTCGACAAAGCGACAACGATGAATATCCATTGTGTGGTTTCGTATCTCCTTTATGTCTAAGAATACCTTTAAGTTTGTCTTTTGATAATTAGAAGAGAAAAATAATTGAAGTAGAAAGCTCATCTCAAGAATTTTTTTTCACTAAGAAGATTAGTGTCGCGACATAATATTTGTCGCCAAATATACTAGTGGATATGGACTTGGGTGCAAAGAGAATAAGGTTACATCTATTAATGAGTTAAACAAATCCTATAAAGCTATTTATAAAGCTTAACAATCTAATAAACCATTTATCTTCTTTAGTATTCATTACCATATTAATAACCAACTCTTTAGACTGTTTCCCACTTCCATTACCATTCCCTCCATGAGTTACAATTGTCCGTTTAACAACCACATTCTTTTTAAAACACCAAACAATAAACATGATTGATAAAACACTAATACTAAAGTTTTTCAAAAACTTCAATGCATTGATTCCAACAATCTTTAAAATCGCAAATACTTTCCGTTTCAAAGGACTATCATCATCACTGGGTAACTCTTGTGGATGGGCTTCTTTGCTTTTAATGAATTCCCGTGTAAGTCTATTAATCACCATATTGACTTCTCCTTGCCATGTCTTAAAATCCTCAAGGATATTCTTATCTATCGGAGTATCTTGTTGACGACGAAGAGACTCCCTATCAATCAATGGCATGGAATATACCGACCCACCTGTGGGTTTTCCTTTATTAGAACCACTCCCTTTAGCTTCTTGATGAGGCGAGTATTCAACTACTGAATATGGAACATTCTTTCTAGAATGGGAATAGATTCGCTCTAAATTATTACGATATGGATTATCTGATCTTCCAAGAATACTTGGGGTTTTGGTTGAGAATCTGTCGCCACCAAACAGGGGTGGTTGTGAAGGTAATCTATTATGATGATTGTGGTTATCCAGTAAATCTTCTTCATATTGTATATGTTTGATTTGATTCCATAAATCTTCCAATTCTCCTAATAATTCTCTAGCATCAACAGTTCCACTGGCATACACTTTCATAGTATCTATAAGATAGGCAATATATCTTCTTTTAGCTTCTGTTTTACTTAACCCTTCTTCACGTTTCCAAGCATCCCATTTCTTTTTGGCCCCTTCATCTTCTGGTGTGAATCCAACTGGACGTGGCATTATCCCAACTACATCTCCTTCAGTTGCTTGTTTGTATAATCCATAGAGTTTGACTCTGTTTTCAGCAGGTGGTCTGGGTAAGGAACCATAGTTGGAACGGGATGATAATGCTCTTATGGTTGTTATTGCTTTCGCAAATACTCTATCTATAGAATGCGTTAGTTAATCATTTCATAATCAATATCGTTTGCTGTTGAAGATTTGTACGTACCAACACTATCTGACATTTCTTATCTCTCTTGCTTTGATCTTTCTGCACTACTAGTGTTACTGTTACTTTTACTCTGCTTCTGCTGCTTCTTAATAGTCAGATCTTAATCAAATTAGGGTATAGTTAAGAGAGATCTGGAGGTTAGAGTATTTGATTTGATGTTTGTTGATTAATTTTTGAGGAATCCTACCTCACCAAAAAAAGAGTGGGGGGGATCTTCTTCCCAACTTTAACCGAAACAACAAGACAAATGCGCTTTTGGGCACGTGATTTTTATTTCAAGTGATAATGTTCCTCGGTACAATATACCATTGTTAGAATAGAGACATTTACAAGCTTAGAGTAATCTACATTTGATAAGATATATGGATTAGTATTATTTTGTATAGGAGCATTTAAGATCCTATATTGTATGTGTGTATTGATATTGATATGTGACTTATAGGATGTAAGCTAATGAAATGGACCTATCATACTCATAGAAGAATACGAGTATAATGGTGAGTAGTCAGCTTCAAAAGAGTTATTCTAGTTTGCACCAAAATAGGAACCCAATATAGTTTCCACTTATAGAAATAATAAGTGATTAGGCACCAGAGTGTTGGCAAACAGTTTTTTGTTTTAGAGGAGTTTCACAGTCATCAATATAATCAAACACACACACACATATAGGTATCTTTTAAGGTCTCCCACATACATTAATACTTTCATTTCCAAAACCTTCCTTTCTAGAGGATTACAATGTTCGATCTGAATTCAAAATCAAACCCTTCTTGGAGGGTATGGTAATCAGATCAAAACAAAATTCATATTTTCCAATATTCTTCGAAGATCGTTAAATATCAAATTAAAACCCTATTAAAACACTTTTGTACATAATTTTAGTAAAATAATTAGTTTTCTGGAACATCAATTTCACCAGCATCAATGGCTTCAATGATATCATGAGGGTTCTTACCGTTAACACGACAACCAACAGATTGAGCAGTACCCAAGATTTCTTTAGCAACGGAAGCTAAAGTCTTACCGAAAGACTTTTCTCTCATAGTTCTAGCAATTTCAACAATTTCTTCAAATGGAATGTTACCAGAATGTTTAACATTCTTTTCCTTCTTTCTATCTCTAACTGGTTCCTTTAAGGCGGTAATAACTAAAGAAGAAGCAGATGGAACAACAGAACAGGTAGCTTGTCTGTTTTGGATTCTTAATTGAACAGTGACTTTAATACCCTTGAAGTCCTTGGTGGCCTTGGCAATATCTTCACCAACCTTCTTTGGGGATAAACCTAAAGGACCAATCTTTGGAGCTAAAGCAGATGAAGCACCAACTTCACCACCAACGGCTCTTAAGTAAAGGAATTTAACTTCAGATGGATCGAATTTTGGAGGCATCTTTGAATGTATATGTTATTGGTCTATAAAGGTTATAACAAGAAAAGAAACTTTCTATGTAAATTTTTATAAAAGATTGATGGTTTGAATGAAATTTTTTTTTCCACTCTCACCAAATCTGATTGACAGTATACAGTATCTGTAAAGTCTCACTATAGCGTGTCTCATAGTAAATTTGTTAGTGATGAGCCAAAAGTATGAGAAAAAAAGAAATCATACACCTGCATATATTAACATTATGTGTCACGTGACTATAGTATAGTTTTAAATTTTCCATTGGTCACGTGTTGTTAGTGTCGGTTTAGGGCTCAACCCCTATCGCCCAACATGCCTGGTGAAAGACCGGATATCTACAACAGGAATGGAATCTACACACATTTACATGCCTGATATTCGTCAGGATGAATATCACGGACTATAAAGAATAAGTAACACACTTTAGCACCATCCACTTCCAAGGCTAGTTCATTAGGCCGGTGAGTTGTTACACACTCCTTAGCGGATGCCAACTTCCATGGCGACCGTCCGGCTGTCTTCACAAACTAAACTCCTTTTTGTGGGATCCCATCAATTGTGTTCTAACACTTTAACCTCACATTTTGTAACTCTTCAATCTGGTGGAAACTATCTATTCGATTATACACAAATATACCCTCTTTTTTTCAAACTATAAAAGCCCACCCGGAATATCACTCCCAATTCTAGAATCTTCATAAAGCGTACCATCATCCTCAAGATTATTCATCTTTGCATCCGCCAATTGTCTAAGCATAATAGCAGGGTGTTTACCCAATTCTTGTAATTCTTTAAATATTATAACTGGTTTCTCTGCCAATTTCAATATCCTTTCTTTGTCTCCATAACATATGACCAATACATATTTCGACCAATCTTCTTTGGGGATATGATGACGCTTCATGGCTTGTTGTAAGATTTTCAAACATGAATCATCGGTGGATGCACGTAATTGTTTAAGTGGTTCATTTGAGCCACTACTGCTGCTGGTCGGATGGGTTGATGTAGTTGATCCCCCCATGGTTGAACTATTTGTAGTAGTTCCACTAGCTGCAGTTCCAGCTGCGGTGGTGCCTGGAGGTTTATCTTGATGTCTATATGTAGCTGTCGGTGGAACATTTGGAGAATGAGATGATGCCCTTTTAGAATGCTGTTGATTTTCGAGATTGGATCCCAATGATGCACCACCCAGGGTGGCGGCATTTCCAGTGCCACTACCGAGTCGATGTTTATTCTGAGAACTTGTACTTTCAGATACATTCTGTAGACTGAAACTACTTGCTAGTTTTGGTTCCACATATTTTGGAACGGTCTGTGAAATGATCTTACCTGTGCCCATAGATAATAACGTCCCTGACGAAAATCTATGGGAATAAGTTGGACTAGTTGGAGTTTTCAGTTCCTTTGGTCCTGATGATGTCGATGTACTATTTGATCTTGTGAGTTCTTTCTTTTCAGAATTCTCACTTGAGGTATGATATATTGGAGATGAATCCAATAGTGAAACAGTTGATCCTGGATCCAATGTAGGTGTAGGTAATGGTTTTGTTTCTTTTAGGACTTTGAGTACTGGAATCAAATCGGCTTTTAGTTTGGTGAAATTATCATTCAATCGTTTTAGATCTTGAGGAGATGGAGAAGCAAGTGGAGCTGAAAATTGTGGATGTTTTTGAATTTCAATACTTAATTTCTTGATCATATCTTTCATTAATACCGTTGAAAGGTTTAATGATTCTTGTGAAACATAATTATCATTGATGTTTAGATTATGTAATTTATGTTCTGGATCATTGGTTGATTTTGGTGGATTCTTTTGATAGTTTTTGATAATCAAATCACTGATTGCTTTCTTGATTAATAATCGAGTGTGTAATGAATTGATTCCTATTTCTTTTAGATGATCGGTTGTGATGAATGGAAGTAAAGATCCATCGATATTGTTGTCAAGAAAGAGATTCCCTATTTGTTGTTGTTGATCTCCACCTCCATTTGTTTTTAATATGGAATTAATGAATGTTGATACTTGTGCCGCATCCCATCGAAGAAATGAATCATTTGATAAAGACATATTCATTACTCTTCTCTTGCCAGATCTTGCTACTGTATAGATCTGTCTATTCCCTTCAATCAAATCTTACCTGTTTCTGATGATTGGGTGTGTTTCCTTCGGCAACCAAAAAAAAAATAGATTTGGTCATTTTGATTCTAGAATCACCGCTTATCAAATCTATAAACAAATCCCCCACTACTCCTTACTCCTTCCACCAAAATCAATTGCCACAACTACAGTATCCCAAATGTCACTCGCTAACGTCCGCCCACAAGCAGGAATCGTGCATACCTACGGATTCAACTTAACAGCCTTTGAATTCACCACCCCTAGTCAAGCCCGCCTCTCACCAAACATAATTCTATTCGTTGGGGGGCTCGGAAATGGACTCTTAAATATCCCATATCTCCCCCAACTAGCAAAAGCCGCTCAGTACATCAATTCCTTCGACTACAATAACGAACCCTGGTCAGTTGTTNCCTGGTCAGTTGTTCAATTACTATTATCTTCGTCATATTCTGGTTGGGGTACGTCTTCCCTCGATCGCGACGTTCGTCAAATCCAACGTGCTGTTGAATATTTCAGATCTGAAAGAAATGGAACTCCCAGGAAGAAGATTGTGTTAATGGGACATTCTACCGGTTGTCAAGATGCAATGCATTATATCACCAAAGCAAGATATCAATCCAATTTCCCACTGGTTGCGGAAGTGGATGGTGTGATTTTACAAGCTCCTGTTTCTGATCAAGAGAATTTCAGAAAAGATGATGCGGAGTTTGATGAATTGGTAAAAGGGGTATATGAGGAATATATCTTACAAGGAAGAGAGAATGAGATCTTGCCTAATAAGTATAGGAAGATGTTATTCAATACCCCGGTGACTGCGTATCGGTTCTATTCCTTGACTAGTAAACGAGGTGATGATGATTATTTCTCGTCATATTTGACTGATGAGGATTATAAGAATACATTTGGGAAGGTTACAACTCCACTTCTTGTGTTGTATTCTGGTAGTGATAAATTTGTTCCCGAGTTTGTTAATAAAGAAGAATTAATGGAAAAATGGAAACAAGCCACCGATCCCCAATATTGGAGTGTCCATAGTAAGATTATTAAAGGTGCAGATCATGACTTGGGAGAAGGCTCTGATAAGGATGTGGATGTTATTGAAGACTTGCTTATCACCGTTGCTGATTTTGTGGGGAGTTTGCTGAAAAGTAATCATTCTAAAACTTCTTTATAGGTGAATAGCTGTATAGGCATTAAATATTTATATTAAATTAACTATATACGATATAAAACTAAAACTAAAAGTAAACGGGATATGTAAATATAAATACTCCTGCAATGTCGTCTTGCTGAATCACAAAACATACAACGAATTTGTGGGGAATGTATATCAGTTACCATCTTGATATGGTGGTGGTGGCTTTCTATGTGTGTTTTTCCTCGTTGGTGGACTCTGGATGACATCCTCAACTGGATCATATCGTTGCTCAATTTGGATGAGTTGTTGCTGAGGTTGGTTGAACTGTTCTTGTGGTGGCACCTTCTCATTGACCAGTTGAAATTCGCTGCGTTGTTGTGGTGGTTTGATATGCAGTTGTCGGCGTGGGAGATATTGTTGTTGGGATTGTCCGAATGGCTGTCGTGGTTGACCGTACAGCTGCGGAGGATTGACTTGTTGTTGAGGTTGACTGAGCAGTTGCTTGCGCTCTTGAGGCTGAGTATATTGCTGTTGGGGTGGGTTGTATTGACCCTGGGGTTG